GCAAGGACAAAAGAGAATGAGGTAAGGCATAGCTGGCCTCCATATGGGTCATACCCATTAAAAAGTGTATGTTGCTGGTTGGTCCACAACAACACTGGGGTTTATGAGCTTTCTGAAAGGTCAGTAGATGTGTGGGTTGGACATTATGTTCAGGAGCAGCATACACCCTTACACTGCTCACCCGGGATGACTGCTGGGGGTTGAATGTCCAGAGACCGGAGTCAACTTGCCAGAACAAATCAGGTCATTGAACATTTGCCTGCATTGCACACAGTTTGACCTGAGCACAGCATCTGCTTAAATGGTTCAACCACCTCTATGCTGATGTTTAGTTGCCAGGCTGGCCTTCTTTTACTCTAGTCTGGAAAAAGGACCACTCTCTTTGTCTCTCACTGTCAAGGAGAGGCCACAGGTATGCAGCTATGAAGTGAGAGGAAGCCCTGGTGTCAGTTCCAGCTCGGTCTTCCCTGCTACATGTCTTCCACCCACTGCAATTAAATAAAGTAAACCAGCAGCCACAGTAATGGTTGCTGTAGACTATTTAAATTGGGCTGGTACTTGCTCTGTGCTGCCTCTACCCCTACCCCAATAGCTGCTAATTGCTGCTGAACCACTGTCCAGCCAATTATCAGGCGATCCCTGTGAAAATCGAGGCCTGTGAATACTGTCCTGCCCCACCGTCCATGCAGATCATTGGGACCCAGAACAACCTCAAAGTTTGTTCCCCGACACGGATAAGAACAACAGGCCCACTGTCTGAATTTCGAAATTGGACTCTGTAGAGTAACAAGGGAAGCTAGGATTTAATCTGTAGCTCTGATATACAAGCAAGCTTACAGGAATAGACTCCTAATGCTTGAGGTGATGCATCAGCTATCCTTATAACTTCATGGCTTAGAACTTGATCTCATCTGATTTGTAAGTTGGAGCACACATTATTTCCTATTTATAATATGAAGATTTTGAGTTTTGACATTTAAAAAAGTGAAGCAGACACAGAGCTGAAATATTTATCTCAATAAGATCCTCATAAATAATTCACTTTCTCTTCTGCTATAATAAATACAACACCTCTATATATATGGGATATTATAAACAATAAAAACATTTTTTTTTAAATCAACCACACTCCCTCCAATTTGCGCTTCCTTGTCCAAATTTACATGAATAATCAACTTGCATCATAAATAGATCACAGAAGGGTCCCGACCCGAAATGTCAACTTTCCTGCTCCTCTGATGCTGCCTGGCCTGCCATGTTCCTCCAGCTCCACACTGTATTATCTCATATTCACTAAGTCGTGTCCATACAATTCTTCTTTATGATAACATGATTTCCTAAGCGATACTGCATAAATATTTCATCACATAAATTGAGCACATCCATTAAAACACATGAAATTGCTAATCCTATTCATTATTCTTTCATCTCCCCATCTGTTAATATGATTGCTGAGTCTATTAGAAAAGGTTACAGTACCTCCTCAACAAAACCCTGACTCCCGACGAACATTTTCAGGGAATAAATACAGAACGTGGTACTATCCTCAGTTAGGGATGGCCTGGAAGATACCAAATCCAATCATTGCTTTGTATGGAATCAGTTGGTCTCAACTGAGATAAAATGGGATTCAATGATTGGTCTTCATTCACCAGGAGGGGAATAGATGAGAAATTCTCACAGGATTTCCACACTTGGTCATTATCCATTGACCCCGACCATAATGTGGTCTAAGTGGTGGCTGGATGAGGCCAAGATCTGGCTGAGCTGTAATGCTCCCACAGCACTCAATGTCTAGGCTCACATGTGAGGAATGGCCACAGAGATGATGCACAGCCGGTCTGCAGGCACTTGTAGATCTGTATCCCAATGAGTCACTACCTTCAGGAAATGAAGAGGAAGGAGAGAAAAACTGAAAGAAAGAAGTTAAAAAGAGATTTACACTACTTTCAGGTAAATGTGCGTAACATTTCTTTCAAAAGAATCAACAAATACTAAAAAACAGTGAATAAAGAAGTGATAGGGTTGTAAGGAAACAAAAACATCAATTGCATTGGATGAAGATTTTGGACTAAAATGGACTAAATTTTGGACATAAAAATTAGTAACAGAAATAGTAATCAAAACATTTTTTTAAACTATCAACCTTCTACCCATCCCTACCTTTGACAGTTTTACACTTTTAACGTATAAAGTACCCAGGATAGGCCAGCAGCATTCATTACCAAACCCAATCTGCTTAAGAACAAATGAAACTGTATTGTGCCATTAAGCCCTAATCATATGTGTCATTCAAACATGCTATAAAATGCAACTTTGTTCAGTCACACAACATAACAGCAAAACATCATCGTATTCAAGCTTAAATAAACATTAAATAAAGACACAAATTACAAATCGTTTACAAGTATCATGCCACAATTTCTTTATGGTTAAAAATCCACTCTAAGACTATTTGCATAATGGAAGTTGCTTTACAATTCATATCCATGCTTCTCCTGTGCAGTATTATTGGTTTGACTGTATTTAGGTAAAAAATCACAGTGCTGCATATCAAACAACTTTCTAAACAGCTACTTGGAAAATTTTGCAAAGTAAAAATTTGTTGTCCAAAATTCTATGACTTTTTCGAACTCTTATAAGCAGAAAAATCAGGGGCTTTTATATGGAGGTTGAAAATATTTTGCCCATGTCTAGATGATAATAAGTTTTAGAAAATTTTGTCCAATTGGTTTAACAAAATGCTCACAATGCACGGAGAGTTTCTCAGTGCACTGTTTATTGAACTTAACCCACTTAAAAAAGAGACCGTTTTACAATATAGTACAGACAGAATCTTCCTCAAATTTTTGCACTGGTCACAAATCAAGAAAGAAAATGAGTTTGAAAAAACTAAAAAAAAGGTAGTCTAATTTGACATGGTTTAAAATTAAATTGTTTTAAAATATGTTGATTTGAAATGACCTATGTTTTTGTTAGCAGATGAATTCCACATCATTTTACCTGGTTACAACATCTTCATAAAGACAACTCCTATTTTGCTTAATAGATTATTCACCATATTGGTGTGATAGGTTGAAATGATCCAATTGTAGATAGGGCGAGATAATGGAGAACCTACACAAGATAGAACATGAATTCTCAATCCTGACTCTATAGTTAGCAGTGACACCAGCCAAGTCTTGGGAATCATCCAGTAGGAAGAAAAAGTGTAGACAACAACTCACCATAGGCCACCAGCTGAAGCTCTCGAAGGTCAGCTAAAGAATGGCTCTGGCATAGGCCTTAGAGGCAGCTAACTGTCTGCTTTGAAATGAATGATGCATGGCCTTAATAGACTTAAAAAGGGGACCAATTCAAAAAAAAATTCACAGCAACAAATTAGTGAATTAAAATACTGAAATGGATGATTTAATCTGCTCTGATATACAGACAATCGTTATCTTGATTTGGCTCCATTAATAGGGCAGGATTGACTCAGCTCGTAAAAAAAAAATTCATTACTATACGTGCTGATTATGAATATGTTTACTGCAGCACTGTTGCATGTTTGGTGACAAAACAGTGTTTACGTGCCACATGCTTTGCAACACTAAGTTTACTACATGTTGTCAAGATGCAGTGAAATACAAATAAGTAAGGTCAAATTATTAACACAATAAAGATATATTTCTAGTTGAGGTTAAAAACAGATCATTTCCAGAAAAGTGGATTAGAATAAATGTTAATAAAGCAAATCTCAGGCTTCAAACAGCATTTATTTAATCCACAGATCACCCTCCAGTACCTCGTTCCCAGCAGTAAGTTCATTTTCATCATTTTACTTACATAGCAAAAACAAGTTTTAGAAGGACGATCCTCAATTTATTGCACAGCAATCATTGGCTGCTTTGTAGAGATTAACAAAATGTTGTCACCAGGGACTTGAAATATCTGGTTTTATTAATTTTAGCAAGAAAGGAGATAGGCGAGGTGTTATTCTGTTTATTTTCTGATAAAATTAGGGAACACAGTAAGTTCTAGTCCTCCATGTTGAATCAGAATGTTCATAATAGCTATCAGAAAAATAGGATTCAGTAACACTAACAAAAGTAAAGTCTTTTTTTTCCCCAGTAGAAGACAAAAGCAGAAGCAAGCCATTCATCTCTTCAAGCCTTTTCTGTCTTTTAGTTAAATCACGGCTGATCTGTATGTTAACATTCATACATCCTGGGTCTACATGCTTTAATATCTTAGACTGACAGAAATGTTTAAATTTTAATTTTGATATTTTTCATTGACTTATCCTCAGTAGCTTATTTTTGTGGGGTAGTGAGGTATGTTTCACAGGCATAAATCCATATGTTGAATGAGACAGCAAAAGACTTTCAGAAATTTACAAGGGTTTTGATGTAAATACATAGTTTACCACAAACATCAGTTTCCAACTTTCCCTTCTGGATCATTTCCCTGCCCAAAAGCATTCTAAAGGAAGATATAAATATCTTTGGTACATAAATATCAACTTGCTCAGATATGTTATTACATACCCGTGGAGCAGCCAGGATTGAAATCAGGTCTTCTGGCCCAGGAGGTACAGAGACTATCAATGCACCAAAACAACACTCAAGAAACAGGCTCTCAAATACAAAGTCCAATGTGCTCAGTCTGCTCACAATCAACTCTGGAATTGTCCTGGTTTACTCTTAAAAGGGAGCTGAACTTCCAGCACATGCAGGGAATAAGTGTTCTAGATTTTCACTACGTCTTGTGTGAAGAAATGCTTTCTGACATCTTCTCTGAATGGTCTAGTTTTAATTTTAAGATTGTGCAACCTTATTTCCCATCAAAGGAAATACTTTTTTTGTCTATCCTATCAATTTTAATCACCTAAACACCTCAATTGGATTATCCCTTAATCCTTCATACTCAAAGAACTAGAAACCTAGTTTATGCAACCTGTCCTCACAAATTAACTCCTTTAGCACAGTGTCATTCTAATGAATATGTATTGCAGAGGAGCAGAGTAACAAAAGTCAGCACAAAACATCCTGCATGACCCATGGTTGCATCAATAGATGGCAAAATTAATTCTAAAATATAACTATTTTAAAAAAGATTTTAAAAATTGCCTGAGCAGTTATATTTAGAAGTACTTTTAAACTACACAATATGAAGATTTGTTTCAACACATCCCTCCAAAATACCCCACCCCTTGTAAAAGTGACCAGGAGGCTGTGCAGTTGTTGTAAAATTCCAACTGGCTCCCTAATGTGCTTTAGCAACAACTTGCATTAATTTAGTGCCTTTAACATAGTAATAATTAACAAAAAAACAGAAATCAAATTTATATTTTGAAAAACAAATCATCTCTGAAGAATATACTGTTGATTTACTTCAGTATTGTGTCTACAGATCTTCATTCATCTCAAAAATACATATTTCATATTATTTCTCCCCTCTTCCTTCATTTTCGGTCTCTGGTTTGCACATTTGTTATTGGTCCTTAACATATTTCTGGACTAATGCACACCTCTCTGTCAAACTGATTATTTTCAATTAAGAATCTTGATTTTTTTCTTTAAAAATGGTACTTTAAAAAAATTCAATACATTAACATGTCAAAAATATTTATTCAAAGTGACTCCCCTAACATAGACCATAGAATTTGTCCTAAATATGCCCACAAAGCAGGCCCAAGATGCCAAATACGAAACAAAATGATAAAACAATCTAATACCAATAGTTTTGCATATAGGTTTTCAGTTTTCAAAGGCTTATCATTATATAAAGGTGGAATTGGATTTGTTAAACTGCTCCAGCTGAAAAGTTCCTCAATCGCAGCATAAACAGAGTAAGTGTAGTCTTACCCATTAAAGCAAGGAACTGCAACATACAGCTTCTAGATCTTGGAGTTTGGGCTGTTATGTCCCTTGCGTGTCAATAATGCAGAACAGTGCAGGTGTAGCTCCCTGGCTTCCTCCTGTCTCCAGTTATAAAACAAAAAATGTCTGCTGCTTTATAAATGTATTGATTAAATTAAATGTGACATTGTAGTTTCAATAATTCAAATAACATGTAACTAGGAATATATATACCAAATTTATGAGAAAATGGGGTCACACTTGTATATAGTTTTACAATGGTACCTTACATGTTTTGCTTGTCACATGAATCTGCTCATGAAATTCTCATAAATGCACAAAGGCCTCACAAGTTCACGATTTTATAATGCAATTAATGTGTAACAGTCTGAGAAAGCCACTAATTCCTTTTGCCACTTCACTTGCAGTATTTGGACTCTAAGATGCATGCACCAATGATTTGTTTGAAATATGGCTGTTGGTGTATGAAGAGATGCCAACAGAAACATACCCACAGGCACCTAAGTTTTAAAGGTGTAATGTTCTCCATTTGGCAGAACTAAATCTGGAGCAATCGCAATATCAATGTTAAGTTAAAAAAACCTTAAATTTATTTAACAAATTAAATCTTTTTTAAGAAAAAATATCAGTGAATTCTGGACATTTCACATAAAAAACTATGGAAACACTCGGCAGATCAGTCAGTATTTGAAAAAGAAATAGTTTAAGCATAATTTCTGGGTGCTGCAACCTATTTTCCAAATTTTCTATTTTCATTGCCAGTTATATTGCAATGTCTTGGCTGCTGGTCAAGTGCTGCACCCTTCAGAGGTTTCCACCTTTATACAAGAGCAGAGCGATTACCGATTCATGCCCCTTCTCAAAATGTAAAATTGGTGCAAAGGGTAATGCCTATTAACCCCTGTTTTGCACCCATTTGAAAAGGACAAAAATGGATGGTACCCTAGTTACTGTGAAATATGGAAAACTTAATATATTACCCACTCTGTGTGTCCAAATTTTGCACTGATCAGACACTGAAAAGATTTTGTTAATACGGGAAACATAT